TAAAATGGAAGCAAGAAGAAGGAAATGAATGTCTCTAATAGCACAAAATAGGATTTTGTACTCACCGATTTCACCCCGGAGCCCTAAAATATCGTTTGCCGCTCTGTGCCGGCCTCTCGGTTGGCACGACTATAATAATCGAGCGCTACTCGCATTGGAAGAATAAATTAGGAGAGGAAAAATAAGAATCGAAACTCTGAGGCTTACCAAGTAGCCGCTCGCCCCTAGCTACAGTAAAGGATCGCAGGATCCTTCGCTGTCGAGTCGCTAATCGAACAGGGATGGAGGACGTGCAAGCAAATCGAGAGGAGGAAAATTGAATTCTCTGAAACCCCTCTTCGACCAAACCAGCGAATATAATGACAAGAGAGGCGGTTGGAAACAATAACATAAGATTGATGAGGTTTAATTAAACTTATAACTTCTAATTTTTATAACTTTCAATTCATTCAAAATTTATATATAGTATTATTTATTAAATTGATTGATTTTTCGTGTATAATTTTATTAAATTATTTTGATTGAAATCTGAGGGATCCGAAATTTGGGATATATTCTAGATCATCAAAATTTTTATCCAATTTCTCAAACCTAGTTATTATAGTTATTCCATAGCTAAAATAGAGGGGGCACAACCAAACTTATGAGCTTGAGGATGAAGCAAGCCCGAATGTTGACTTGTGACTGTTGAGGCAAAGTAACCCAAAAGAAAGATCTACAACTTTGAGCCTAGAGAAGCCCATAAATGAGGCATACAACCTTACAATTAAGGAAAGCCAAGATGGAACTTAAACCCTAATCCTAAAAACAAAGAAGGCCAAAAGTGTTTGGTTTAGTGAACCTTAGCCAAATAGTCTTGAAGGACTGTAAAAATGCAACAAACATCTAGACAAAACAAGAAGTTGGGTTGCGAAGTCTTGGGACGCACCGTGCAAGTCAATGAACCACATTTGGCCATTGGGATCTAAAGTAACTACTTCAGAAATTGGAATTGTGTCCTCTTATCCTACAAGGATATCCACGCACTCGTTGCTCTTCCAGATGACATCCGGTTTTTAAGCGACTTCTATCCACTTATATCCACGGTATCTATTCAATGAAGGTAAAGTTTAATTTGCCTATATTTTATAAGTAAATCAAATATTTCAGTATAAAAGGCAACTTCAAACTTTGACATAATTTTTATGATCAATGATCCCAATCAGAGTTCTCAAAAATCTTCAATTAATCACAAGAGAACTTTCACATGTTCAATTGTTTTCAAGAATCAAAATACTCCAACGAATATTTTATGTCCAAAGAAAAATTGATAATTTTAAGTGGACAAAGTAGAGTAGAATCACCTGCAACTTGATCAAAGTCAGAGTTTCGTTCCCCATAAGTTTACAAAATTGTTGTTGTGAAGGCCAGTGCATCACACCATACATGCATTTCTCAACGTTGTGGAAATGATCCACATCTTTCATTAAGCTCCATGGAGGTAATGTGGAAACATTGTTTAAATTTTTCACAACACAAGAATATCTTCCAAGATTGAATTTGTACCTTTGCAGGCATAATAGTGGCCCATAAAAAATCTGAGCTTAACATGACCTGCTTATGTCCCAAATACGATAGCTTGCGCTACATCTATGATGCTGCTTTATGTTGTTTCACCATAACGATGGCCCCTTAGCGCCCCCAAACTCATTAAATCATGAGCACAATTGTGGATATTGATGTCGGTTACATTTTAAGGCCATAAAATGGAGCAATCAACAGCACTTTCAAACTAGGGGAATCAATTTGGAGTAGGGGTTGGGTTGAGTATGACCTAAATTAAACTAGACCTATGACCCATTTATTGTACAAGTCAAAACGTCTGACTTGAATCCAACAAGATATAAACTTAATTGACTCAAACCAAACACGTCTAGACCATTTATTATATGGTTCATATAATTTTTATGACAACACAACCCATTGAGACAAAAATTAAATGGGTTGTGTTTTAGATCCAAAAATTAAAGAGATTGCATTTTAGATCCAAAAATTAAATGTGCTATTTTTTAGTGATTTTGGATCTTTAAGACCAACCTAAACCTGAATTAAATAGTAAACAACTCGACACTTTAGATCCAAACCTGAGCAATAGTTTTTCAAGATGAGCAATGCCAGGTGTTGTATTGTGTCATTTATTGACACCTCTACTATGGACGATAAGCCAAAACTAATAAAGAGGCAAAAGAATGATGCATATTAAAACCTCTCTCTCTCTCTATCCTCATTAATGCAACTAAATCTCCAACAGAAAAAGTTATTCACAAATTTGATGTGCTTCATTGCAAATTGAAGCCTTCTTCATTTAAATGGCTTCATACAAGTGGATTCTTCTTTTTTATTTCACTAAGTACATAAATATAGATCTGAATGGTGTACCTGATCTACATAATAGCAGTATCAGATGAATTTGACCAAACATCAAAGGCTCAAGTAAGATGAAATCTAGATTTGTGAAAATTTATGAACAAAACCCAATATAGCAAAAACAATCCACATAAGTAGAAACTATTAAACTAAAGAGGAGAAACCATGCAAATGTAGCTGATGCGGGGCTTTGGAGGTTGTACACGGGACTTTGGAGGCGGGCTGAACCGGCTTGCTGGATGGCCAGGTAAACCAGCCAGGATAGATCCCGGTCCAACCCCCTATTAGACCGGCCGACCTTCAGGGAGCGAGAGATACCGCGCCTCCCCCTCCTTGCGTCTATTTGCTGCCCTTCTCCCCTTCCTCTTCTGGTTGTCACCCAAAAAGGGAGCCTCCCCTTCCTACTTTATCTATTAGCTATTATATATGTGTGGTTTTGTTTACTAAGGGTTCATATTATTGTGTTTGAGACTTCTGTCCAGCTTGCCGTCGGTGGCTGTTTTCACTTCTAGGGTTGTATCCGACGGTGAGGAGGTGCTCAGACAGTAACTAGCTTGAGATGGTGATCATCTCCAAAAATTCGAGGGGAACTCTGATCGCAACTCGCTCCCACGAGAATAGTTATCCTTCCTTATCTCCCCTCCTCTGCTCATGGCTATTCCACATGCCCACCTTCCTCTTCCAAGACTTACTGCCGCCAACCACACATATCCTTCCCCAACCTGCTGCCCCCTTATCATTTCCCCTACCAGCTGCCGCCATATCCTTTCCCCTACATGTTGCCTTAATCCACTCTACCCGACCACCTACTATCGAAACATCTCATCCCTCCCACGCTTGTTGTCAAAGCCTCCTCCCTCAAAGCCAATCCCTCCCACTTGTTGTCGTAGGCCACTTCCTCACATCCCCTGTTGCCAACCGGCTATAGGCTGTTGTCCAACCACCCTTCACTGCACCGTAATTCCCTCCAGACCATCCCACTGCCGTCGGAATCACCTTCAGCACAGTCAGTTATTTCCGCCAGCTCCGACAAGCCCTCCCACTTGTTGTGCAGTTGTCGTTCATCGCCCTCGTTGTCACCCTCATGTGTCTTTTACGTTTGTTGTCATTTCTTTCCTATTCAATGAGTCATAGTTGTAACCTATTTGAATTTCGACAATAATAATATTTTATTTCTCTTGTGGTTTAGGTTAATTCCAGCATTAGTAGTATAACTGCAGTAAGAAACCTGGAGTAAGTTTTTCTAATAAGAACAGTCAACTTAACGTGTAGGCCCAATCACATTCTTAAATAAAAGTGCGATTTACATACATAACACATGAAACTATTAATATTACATATCTCACACTCAAACTTCAATATTTGCACCGCTTATCACTCGCTTAACACCATTAATTGTGTTATACGATCTCACTGAAATGAGAAGGACCAGCTCTGATGAGGAAGCAATGGGATCGGCAGTCAATCGCATCATACAAAGGCGTCTGAAACTCTCATCTTTCTCCTCCTTTGGCAGCGGCGGGATCACGACATCCACAGACATCTGAAACTCCTATCTTTCTCCTCCTTTGGCAGGGACATGATCACACATAAAAAGATCTACAAAACTCCCACCTTTCTCCTCCTCCAGCAACTGAATCACACGGACAAAGAACTCCGAAACTCCCACTTTTCTTTTCCTTCGAGAGTGACCACATAGCGCGTACAAAGGCCTCTAAAACTCCCAGCTTTCTCCTCCTCCAGCAATGACAGGACCAGGCGTACAAAGAAAACCAAAACTCCCATATTTTTAGCCACAGCTGGCAGGCAAGATAGGGAGATAATGAGGTTAATGATGCGTGTTGATTTTGTTGTTATTTGAATGTTTTGGTTGCTAAGAATGTAAATATTGCGGTTTGGGTGTGATATAGGTAATATTAGTAGTTTTGAGTGTTATGTTGTAAATCCCCCTAAATAAAATACCAGATAGCCAGGAACTCAGTTTAAGACAACAAAACTATCAATTAGCTTGACAGTTTTCTTGAAATTTTATAGATTTCAAATATTTTATATTATTTTATTACAAAGCATGCAATCTGGACAAATACACAAATGTATTAACAAATACACACCAAAATTAATATAGCACAGAAGAGTACAATTTATTTGATGCTTGGTAAAGAAACTAAAAGTACGAGCATCATTGTTATTAACTAATCTCTAAAAATCCCAAACAAGAAGAGTTCATCAAGTAAGAAAATGCAATTCCACAGAAGAAACATGTCTTCTCAATATAAAAAAACAAATCAGCAAACATGACAACAAGTGGAAATCCACAACAAATATTGATATGGATTGCAAATGGAGCAAAATCTATACGATATCAAGAAGATCATTATTATTTATAAACTCTAAAATCTTAGCCAAGAAGAGTTTGTCCAGTAAGAAGAAGCAATCCCACGGAACATACAAGTCTACTCAATATACAAAGCAAATAGGCAAACATGAAATCAAGAGAGTTAATGGCATTCTATACTGTAGATTATAGTATATAAGAAGCATTAAATTATTCCATCTTCACGCAGAGAAGCTGCAAGCATGAGGAAAAGATTTACCCAAGGCAACGCACCAATGTGATCCTCATGCCCATGAGTTATAACAACTGCTTCAATTTTAGAGCTCCATCTTTTAATGAATGCAGTATCAGGTATAACTTTCTGAACACCTAACTCATCATAACTGTCACGCACATAAGGGTAGCCAATCAAAGGAGGTAGAATGGAGGTAAAGCATAGAGATAAATTCATAAAAACTCAATCATTAAAGAAAAAAGTAAATAACCATGATGCATCAAACTGAAGATCAAAAAAGAAACTACCCCAAAATGGAATCTCGACCAACTGCATAAGTAATAAAAGGAAGTTTCAGACAATTGACTCCTCTATCATGAGAAGACGAAGAAAAATTTACTATGAAGCTTATCAAATATCAATTAAGAACGTAAATTTAAAATAGCCATTAATAAATGACTGTTTTATCAATTAAAGAAATAAAACCCCAATCATACTTAGGCTTAATAGTTAAAAGAAGTTGCTATCAATCTTTTAATTAGGTTTGTAGAATAACATAAGAATTCTTACAATTAGAAGAGCAGAGTAGAAATGTAAATTTTATGTTTGATTTTATTCCCATGTTGATGCGGGGACAGACGCAATATCGTGTTTTGCATGCGGGAGTTCCCCATCTGGACCACACGCGGGAGTGCGTGTGTGAGTTCCTTCTGTTTAGGTAGTATTCTCAGGTTGTTTGTTCAGGGATAGCCACTGGAGTCTCTATTTCTCTCTTATAGGGTTGTATCTAAGGGTTGAGGGGTGCCCTAGCAGTATCTCACTCCCGAGATGGTGATTATCCTTCCCCAACTCCTCTCCATCCCTTCCACTTTACTGCCACACATCCCTGTTTTGTTGCAGCCACCTAGAACAGTCGCTCATGGCTGTTTTTAAGTAACTTTTCGAACTTCCAGCCACCTGTCCTCGCTGCCGCCAACCCGGACATCCCTCCTTTTGCTGTCCTCCAGTCCTCCGAATCCCCATCACTGCCGCCGCATCCCACCTCGCTGCTGCAGCCTAGCACAGCCATTTTCGGCTGGATTTCCTCGCAGCCTAGCCGCCCAGCCGCTTGTTTTCCCTCATTCCAGCCTGCTGCCTTGCCACAACCCCTTAACCTTGCTGCCGTCCATCAAAAAGCAACAAGCCTGCTGTTCTCCGGACTATTCCAACCGGTCCTCCCCTTTCCACGCACTGACGCCTCCGGAACCTGTGCCCTACCGCCTCCCTACTTGCTGCCAACTTCCAGAATCTGCACCTATACCTTTCCATCTTGCTGCTATCATTCCGGAAAGCTGTATCACGTCGATATCTGCTACATGCCTGCTATCCGGAATTCGGGAAACCATTGCTTTGCTGTTTTCTGCTTGTCGATCATCTCGTCCACCATTCCACCACCTTCCAAAACCTCACCGATGACCTCTACCACCCTTGAAAGTCGCATGTATTGTTATTTTCCATTTAGTGTGTCGTTTGTTTTGCCTATCGGCTTTTCCCGGTAATAATATTGTTTGCTTATTGTTATTTTGGGTTAACTACAGTATCACTTGTTTTGTGCAAAACAAAGATAAGAAGTTGTACATAAATAGGTGGAGAAATAATAATCTGAGAAGAAAACAAAAATCAGAATTATTCTTTAATTCTGAAAATCAAAATTGACTACAAGACAAATAAAATATTACTGCCCACAATTTGAAGGGCTGTTTTGCATGTAAAGTTGATGATTGCTAGAGATAATGGCAGCTACGAACCCATGATTATGTCAACAATGATGAATAATGGGAAAAAAAAACTATAAAATCCTAAAATATGATAACAAGCATGTTGCATGGCTTAAAAAAATATCAAGATCATATTATAGTTTCTTCAAAATCATAAATTTAATTAAGATATCATTTGTGGCGCGCCTCTCAAGATTGTGGTTGCCTAATTCCTTGCAATCAGCAATATATAGTAATGTAGCAGGATATGGAACTTGTGTCTTTCCCTTCTAATCCATGATGACTCAATTTCAACAGCTAATCCATTGTTTCTATATTTGTGGCTCTGTTTGCAAAACAGTAATGGAAGTCGTGATGGCTTCTGTAAGTGATAGTAAGTGGTTTGCCTTCTTTGACTATAGTTTTGTTATGCCCTAATTTAATGCGAGATTTTTTTAAGTTTTGAAATAAAATTTGGGTCCAAGGTATGTAAAAAATTTATTAGCTGACAGCTAAAATTTTTAACAGGATGCTTGAGCCCTTTTTTCAGGGAATCAATGCAGGATGCTTGAACCCTTTTTTTCACGGAATCAATTTCATGATAGCGTGAGGAGTTTGAAGGACTTGAATTCCTAATGCAAACACAAGGCCAACTATTATGGTGAATCCTTTCCCTAATTCCTTTTTTTTTTCTTCAATTCCTCCAACAATTTTTCATTATTGATATGCTATAGAAATTATGTATAATTAGTTTTGTTGCAATTTTGATTATACCAATTGCATGAAATTCAAGTCATTGTGTTGCTCTGTTGATAATTAATCCAAGACATTAATTTTAAATAAAAGGCCAAAGTGCACCGTGAACCCTAATGAAAACTTTCAACCAGATTTCACGAGACCTTTTCAAAGGATATGTCAACAAATAACTAGTTTTTTATGGGATTTTCAATCCAACCTCCAGAACCAGAAAGCTCAAAACAAATTATCACCAATATTATTTCTTAATATATTTCTGATTTCCATGAGTGGAAACCGATATTTGCTTTAATTAATATACTAATTTGTTACATGGTTTTCTGCAATTCACATTAAAACGACATTAAAAAGAGACCTAAAGGCGTCTCATACAAATTTTGTATTAGAGCTTAAAAAAATGTTGTAACATAATAACAAAAAGATGCAAATCAAATGGAAATAAGTCAATTATGATTCCAAGTAATTTCAACATAATTATTATAAGATTAAAGATTACATTCCTACAGTCAATGAAAGGCATTCTATTTATGTATACTAAATTAATGTGCGTTGACTTATACATACTACTAAATCCATTATAAAAGCATTCCACGTTTTATAATATAAATTTGTGGAAACGCCTAAGCAAACCCATGACTTATTCAACTATAATTCATGATTTGTGTCCTGGCTCACACCTATGGAAGCCTCCTAGCTGTACGTCCAGCAACACTGCTTCCAGCAGTCCACCCTAACAAGCCGCCAGCTCTCTTTCATACTTCAAACCAAGCGGCCAAACTCTCTTTCCGTATCTTGTTTGCCACCTCACCCATCCATGTGCTATATTAATTGTTATTATTCTGTAGTTAATTTTAATTCCTTCTACAACAACAACAACGCCTTAATCCCACAACAACAACGCATTAATCCCACAACAACAACGCCTTAATTCCTTCTATTTCATATACTTTTACTAGAGGTTCGCCTTGACCTATATAAATTTAGCATAAAAGATGAAATGAAATACACAACCAATTGTCTCCAATCCTTGTAATTATGCTGCTTTAAACATTTTTTTCCTTGTTATTCTATAAGTTGCAACCTACACCAATGCATTGCCGAAATCGTACAGCATTCATTGCTGCAATTCCCTTCTAGCTAGGTTTACAATAATCATAGAATCATTGCTGGTCTTAATTCTATTTTTCATTCTTTTTGCAACCAGTTACAACAAAACATTTCATTCCCATTTATCACGACAGTATGCATATTCCGTTAGTGTTAGGTGCATTTAAAACTGGGACAGGGAACTCAAACCCAATGAGAGAATTGCAAAACATCAATTCAACAAATTCATTGAAAATAAATAATTACTTTTAAGTGGAAGTATTTGGTTCTCACACCATCGTTTATAAAACTTAGGCTTAAATTAGTCCTAAATGTGAGCAAGGAAATCCCAAGCTTGAGAAGAACAAGATTCTATGGAAATGATATCCTAATTATGGAACTCCTTGGTTCCCGAGATAAGTGACAATTGTATGTTCCTTCATTCGGCCGAAGAAATATGGAAAAGAAAAATTACCTATACTCTAAAGACCGCGTTGTAGTTCAAATCTATAAAATCTAGACTAAGATCTTATCTATCAAACAAGAAGAGCAATCCATCACAGAAAATTCTAACCTGTGGCAAGGCTTTTAGCAAGAACTAATATCAATGCATATAAATGGAATAAGACGGAGTTATAGCTCACCTTCAAAGGTTATTAAAAAAATGGATTTATGATTTTGTTGCAGAATTAAATTTTAATTTAATGCTATAAGAGTACAGATTCTAGCAAAGAAGGATTTACCTTCACAAAATAAAGTTATTGCTATCATTTAAATATAAGAAAAGAAAAAAGTAATAGAGATTACTTAGTCCCAAAGGTTATCAACATTAAACACTATGATTCAAAACACTCCTCTCACTAGAAAAGATCAACCAAATCCAACAAAAAAGATTAATAAAGGTTCTTTATAGTACATATATAGAAAAAAAAACTCGCATACAAAGGAAAGATAGTGAAAACTTTTCATGGCAATCCACCAATACAAATTAATCATAAGGAGAATAAGTAAAAAAAAATAGAGACATGCATATATTACACGTATGGAAAAAGGTAGCACCAAACAATCACCCATAAAATTCTAAAAAGAAGAAACAGAAAAGTTAAAAAGCTTGCTTGTATCACTAGAAAAGACTTATGGCATGTATTCACTCTCTTTCATTCTAATTTACTACCTCATCTTCTCATGCATTTAAAGTCTCAAAGATACCCAATCTCAGCACTTAAGATTATTGATTCCAGAACTACAACCATACAACCAACTCCTCACACAAATTCACTTGATCTACTAATTAAAAAAACTATTGCTAGAAGACCCTTGCAATCATTGTTAGCCAAACACATTCTTATAAACAAACCGTTCACAGTTCAAAATGTTCTCCTTGTTCCTAAATTATTTAACAAATTATAATCAATTGAAACTAACTACAAATTCAAACTTCAGTGCTGCATATTATCCTTCACATTGAGTGTGTTAGGAAAACAGCATAAGGAGGACGACTGGAATAACTAAAAAACAGATGGTCTCTACCACCTCGAAAAATCCGCTGATCAAAAAAACTCCATAGAACATATTCTATTTATCTTTCCTC